GCTTCAATTTAAATTCTGTTTGCGCCGAACTTGTTTATTTAATGTCATTACACACTATTATAAATTTGGTGTGGGTCCCAAGTATAATAACTGAGATATTGGTATACATAAAATCCACCAGCCGCCAACAGTTTTTTTAAACTACCATAGGCGTAGATATATTATTTGTAAGTATTCCAAACTTTTGGACATGTGTGTATATATATATATATTAGGGTGGGCCAAAAAAAAACTTTTAATTTTTTTTCTTTAGGTACCATGAAAATATCGTCCAAGATGACGATGGTATATATATATATATTAGGGTGGGCCAAAAAAAAACTTTTAATTTTTTTTCTTTAGGTACCATGAAAATATCGTCCAAGATGACGAAAAAAAAATTCTCCTAAAGTTTGAGCTCTTAATATTAATATTAAGAGGTGGCTCATCGCGATTTTTTATTTTCCATTTAAATAACACGGGAAAAAAACATTTTTTTGTTTGTAATTTTATTGCGATTTAACGAATTAGTGTGTTGTAAAAATCAATACATATTCTTGTAGGGAATTGAACGATCTACAAAAAAGACCTGATATGATTTTTTGCTTAGTCGACTCTTTTAAAAGATATTTGAGGTTAAAGTTCAACTTCAAATAGTAAATGATGACTTTTATAGTTTTTCACTAAATATTGTCTCAAAAACATGAAATATCATATTTTTCGTGAAGTTTATCGAGTGTTCTTCGGCAAAACAATACAATTTTTTATAAAATATCAATAATCGTTGGAAAAACGGTTTTTTCCTATATTTAATTTTTTTTTAATTCGAATTTTTTTCTTTACCTGAGTAATGACAAAAAAATTAATCATTTCCTTCAAAAAATAATAAATATTCTATTTACACTTGACTATTAGGTAATGTAGAGTAATAAAAGCCATGTTTCAATAATTTTCCAATTAAAATAAAAAATGTTATTCCAACGTGCACTTTTTTACTATTTTGGAATCAAACTAAATTTTTCTTGTTACAATTGGGATATTTTTGCTGGTGGTTTTTAACTACTCGCTATAAGTATCAAATATACATATACATATTTAATATATTTGATTTACCCATTGACTTTATCAATAAGAATGTAGAATTTTGGACACAGGATGAAAGCTATCAAGATAATCTAGTATTTTTCAAACGTCTTAGCGTTCTCAATGATGTAGCAGAAAGAGGAGTTGCATTAATAGAAGAGAACAACAAATGTTTGATTCTAAGATAGTGAAAAAAGTACAAGTTATGGAATAACATTTTTTATTTTAGTTGATAAATTATTGAAACATGGCTTTTATTACCTAATAGTCAAGTGTAAATAGAATATTTATTATTTTTTGAGAAAATGATTAATTTTTTTGTCATTACTTATGTAAAGAAAAAAATTCGATTTTTTTTTAAATCAAGTAGACTTATACTTATAATTATATAAAAAAAATTTATTGATATTGATTGTTGATATTTCGTAGAAATTGTATTGTTTTACCAAAGAACACTCGATAAACTTCACGAAAAATATGATATTTCATGTTTTTGATCCAATATTTCGTAATAGAGTATGGAAAACTATAAAAGTCATCATTTACTATTTGAGGTTGAACTTTAACCTCAAATATCTTTTAAAAGAGTCGACTTAGCAAAAAATTATATCAGATCTTTTTTGTAGATCGTTCAATTCCCTACAAGAATATGTATTGATTTTACAACACACTAATTCGTTAAATCGCAATAAAATTACAAACAAAAAAATGTTTTATCCGTGTTATTTAAATGGAAAATAAAAAATCGCGATGAGCCACCTCTTAATATTAATATTAAGAGCTCAAACTTTAGGAGAATTTTTTTTTCGTCATCTTGGACGATATTTTCATGGTACCTAAAGAAAAAAAATTAAAAGTTTTTTTTTGGCCCACCCTAATATATATATATACAAAAGTATGGAATAGTGTAAATATTTTTTTTGGTCAGGTCCTGCAGAAAACGCTCGGACACGTCAATTTACTTTTGTACAAGGATTTTTGTGACATTTTTTTCTGTCAATCTATTTAAATGGCAACCCCCATTTCTTTAAAGAAATGGATAGACTATTAAATTCTGATTTCAAAAATATGCATAATTAGTCTGATAAGACTAATAGGACAAGTAAAATAATAATAATGCTTTATTGAACTAAAACCAAGTTCAAAGGCTATTGACCGTAGTCCTTCAGCCGCAGGACAAGTAATTTTATTATAATTTTACAAAAAAAAAAAATCGCAGTTTTCTTTGACAAAAACAAAACAGGCTGGTAACCAAGTTAAAAAACATGACAGCTGTAAATTTTTCGATATTTTAAAAGAAGCAGTGCAACAGTTCTTTTCAAAAAAGTTTTTTGAAAGTCAGATTTATTTGAAAGTCGAAGGAAAAATAGTGCAATTGACTAAAAAGGAAAGGAATGATATCATAACCCTGGTTGGATTTGGAGACCGGAAGAGAACGCAGCAAGAATTATGCAGCTTATTTAATGAAGCCTACCCCAACCATCCCCCGATCTCGCAATCTTGTATTTCCAAAGTAATGAAGAAATACAGACAAAACGGAAGTGTGAAAAACGCAAAACAATCAGGCCAACCATCCTGGTTTACCCAGGACATGTTCTGGTGTTTGCTAAAGTGTCCTGGTTTTAATTGTGTACTGGTTTTGTCCTGGTTTTGCAGATTTGGTCCTGGTTTATACTATTTTTTTTATTATTGACGTTATTAGCAATTTTTTTTTTGAGTGGTCAGGGCTCAGGTTTACAAATTAATTTAAAGTGTAAAACTTTAAAAGTACATTTAGAAGAGTAAAAACGTTTGAAAAAAACATGTTTGAAAAAAAAAGTAAGACTTTTTCTCACTTTTTTAGGATTTGTTCTATTATTTTTTTAAGTGGTAGGTGCTCAGGTTAAAAATTAATTTAAAAATCTAAAACTCTGGAAGTACATTTAGAAGAATAAAAAAGTAGGTAAGAAAAAACCTGGTTTGAAAAAAAAATTATAAAAAATTATTAGTTTTTCCCACTTTTTTAGGATTTGTACTAATTTTTTTTTAAATGGTCAGGGCTCAGGTTAAAAATTAATCTAAAAATCTAAAACTTTGGAAGTATCTTCAGAAAAGTAAAATAGTAAGAAAAAACCTCGTTTGAAAAATAAATTATAACAAATTATAACTGTTTCTCACTTGCTCAGGTTAAAAATTAATTTACAAATCTGAATTTTTGGGAGTAAAGAGGTAAGAAAAACCTCGTTTAAAATTGTTTTGTTAAATTATGAGTTTTTCCCACTTTTTTAGGATTTGTTCTAATTGTTTTATTAAAAGTGGTCGGGGCTCAGGTTAAAAATTAATTTAAAAATCTGAATTTTTGGGAGTACCTTCAGGATCATTTTTTTACTATTGACATTATTAGCACATCTTTTTTTTAAATATTAAACATTAAATAAAATAAATTTTGTTTATTTTTTGGAAGGGCGAGGAGGAGAATGTTGTGTCCTGGTTTTTCATTTTAGAAAGTAAAAAACCTTGCTTGAAAAAAAAAATATATAAAAAATTATGACTTTTTCTCACTTTTTTAGGATTTGTTCTATTATTTTTTTAAAAAGTTGTCAGTGCTCAGGTTAAAAATTAATTTAAAAATCTAAAACTTTGTAAGTACATTTAGAAGAGTGAAAAAGTAAGAAAAAACCTCGTTTGGAAAAAAAATTATAAAAAATTATTAGTTTTTTCCACTTAAGTAATATCATTTTTTTGCTATTGACGTTATTAGCACATCTTTTTTTTTAAATATTAAACATTAAATAACATAAATTTTGTTTATTTTTTGGAAGGGCGAGGAGGGGCATGTTGTGTCCTGGTTTTTCATTTTAGAAAGGTTGGTCACCTTACCTTGCACAAAACCATAATATTTCAAGAAGGTTAGTTGGTAGAATTAGAAAAAAGGAAAATTTCAGTTATGTAGCGCATGTGGCAGGAAAAAACTTTTCAAATTAAATTTTGTTTTCTGACGAGGCCACCTTTATGCTAAACGGAGCTGTCAATAGACATAACTGTCGGTACTGGTCCCAGCAAAAGCCTCCTGAATGATTGAATGTCGCAACCAACGACCTCAGGGGGGCATCATTGGAAATTACATTATCGGACCTTTCTTCATAGAAAGCAATTTAACGATGGGGAGATATTTGACTCTATTAACAAAGAACGTTTTTCCTGCAATAGAAGCCAGGTATCCAGATGACAACACTATATGGTTTCAAAAGGATGGGACACCCCCTCATTTTGGACGAGTAGTGAGGTAATATTTGGAAGAAGTATTTGCGGAAAGGTGGATTGGACGTGGAGTACATATAGAGGGGCCACCAAGGTCACCTGACTTAACACCCCGTGATTTTTTTTCTTTGGGGTCATATGAAAGACAAAGTGTACCAGGAACGGCCAAATAACTTAGACGATCTGAAAGCCAGAATCACGGCAGCAATGGGAAAAGTAGGAAATGAAGTATTTGGAAATGTAAGGCGGTCTTTTATGGATAGATTGCAATTATTTAGTCAAAATAATGGTAGACATTTTGAGCATTTAAGAGACTAAACATATACCGACACTGATTCTTGGAGATAAAAAATTATTATTATTTCAAAAACTATAAGTCTAAACAGACTAAATATGCATATGTACCCAAACGCTGTATATTTTTCATTGCTGATACAATGGCTCAATGAAAGTATAAACTTATACTCCAAACATCGTTTTATTAAAACAGTTTTAAACTTTAAATTTAAAATAATCTTTAGTCCACTAGTGTCTAAACAAGGGAACTTTTAATAAAACATGGTTTAAATGAACTTATTTTGATCCCAGATCCTGTATATGGGATTTTTATACCCAAATATATTGACTATTTGATTTATCCAATCTATTGAATTGTTTTCATTTATGTTTTTGTAAATATATTAAAAATCCCATTCCAGGAGTTATTCAAAAATGAATTTAGGCCCAAATCAGTATGAAGGAGCAGGAACAAAAACAGTCAGTATGTTCTCAAAACTGGTATCACAGGGTTCAAATTTTGTTATGGAAGGCGTTAAAAATTTAGTTATTAAAAGACATGTAAGACTAATAATAAAAATTAAATTAACCAAAAAATAAAATATCATTTTAGAATTTGCCAGTTACAAGAATAGTTGATCATTTAATGGAGTTTAAAAGTAGTCAGGAAATGGATGATTACCTATATCTAGATCCAAAACAGTTAAAAGTAACAGAAATTCCAAGAAATAGATCATCTTTCCAAGATGGTATTGTTTTTGTAGTAGGGGGAGGGAATTATATTGAATACCAAAACTTGGTAGACTATGCTAAGGTAATATAAATGAATTACTTACTATTTATATAAAACTTACCTTATATGTATTTTAGCAAAAGTCAACTTCCACAAGTACTAATAAAAGAATTATTTATGGAACTTCAACTTTAAATAATGCCAAACAATTTTTAAAACAACTTACTCTATTAGGACAAGATATTTTATAAATTATAGTAACAATAAAAGGTGTTTTGTTAATAAATATTTATATTTTTATTGTATATAATTTTAATATATTATGATTTACATTTATAACTGATATTTTATTTTTTTATACATAACTATACCTAAGTGTAGTACACTTTGGTTGCAATCTTCACGTTAGTCAAGATTTCATATTTAAAATTTGTGTGTTTCTGACAATACCATTGCTAATTAAGTTATTTTTGTAAATTCTAATTTCTAAATTTATTTTAGTTTTCATAGAAAGGTTTTATATTATTAAAGTGAGTGAAAAAATAAATGATATAAGTAAATGAGACACATGGTACCATGTGTCTCATTTATATGATTTATATTTTCACTCACTTTAATAATATAAAACCTTTCTATGAAAACTAAAATAAATTTTATTACAAAAATAACTTAATTGGCCATGGGGTCATTCCACGTTACTCGGGGATTTTTGTCCCGCCCGTCACAATTAAAAATTGTGAGTAAAAACTACACGTTATAAAATTTATTTTAAAATAGTAAAATGGAAAAAATTCACTATGGAGTTCCACAAGGGTCAGTGCTAGGTCCACTACTTTTCCTAGTTTACATCAATGACATAACTGAATGTGATGATAAAGGTGAAACAGTCTTATTTGCGGATGATACCGGACTTTTCTATTCTGGAAGTGAAGAGGAAGTGTTTGGATGGGCTCAAAGCGATTTAAATGCCGTTAATGTGTAGACTAAGAAAAACAATATTAAACTTAATGAATCCAAGTGCAACTATCTAGTCATAAAAAGTAAAAAAAAAAACTGTGATAACTATACTTTAACGCTAAATAAACAATTTTTGGATAAAGGGAAAAGTGCAAAATATCTAGGATTAATTATTGATGATAATCTTAGTTTTAGTGACCACATTCAAAGTCTCAAAAATAAAATTGGAAGTTTAAGCATTAAATGCTTATTTAATAAACAAGGAAACTAAACATTTAATATATAATGCATACATTAACTCCCACTTAATGTATCTTCCAGCTTTTTGGGGGCACGCAAAAAAAGGACTTAAAGAGTTTGCAAGTGACACAAAATATACTTCTCAAGCTATTATTTAACAAACCGTTCCTAACGAGCTCTACATATCTTTACAATGAACTAAATGTGTTAAACATTGTTGAGCTAATAATGCTGGATAGTGTCAAAGTGGTGTATAAACTTAGAAATAACCTAATAGAAACAACTGTAAACCTAACTAAAAACTGTAATAAACTTAACACAAGGACCAGCCAGCATTATCACATTGCTTCAAATAATACTAAGTTTGGAGAAAGGAGAATAACACAATCTGCTATAAAATGGTACAATGAACTTCCTGAGACAACAAAAAACCAAAGAACAATAAAAACATTTTCGACATCGGTCAAAAACTATTATTTATCTTTAAGAAAACTGTGATAACTGCATGTACCTACTTCCACATATTTATATTATATACTTTATTTATTTTATATTTTAGTGTTTTTATGTAAAATTTGTTGAATATTTTTATTTTTCTACTATTGTACCTGCTATGGAATCATGTATTCTTTTTGGGTTTATTAAATAAATTTAAAAAAAATATATTGTTTTATTATGCTTTTAATAAGTTATAAGCACAATAAAAATAATATTATAAAATATTAATTTTATAATTTGCGGTTTTTACTCACAAATTTTAATTGTGACGGGCAGGACAAAAATTACCGAGTAACGTGGAATGCCCCCATGGTATTGTCAGAAAACACAAATTTTAAATATGATATCTTGACTAACGTGAAGATTGCAACCAAAGTGTACTTTAATAAGTATACAAATCAAAGATCTAACATAAATAAATAATTTGTCATATCGTCACCCTAAAGTCGTTTTTTCGCGTAAATACCATGAAATACTATGGTAATTAAACTTAACCGTGGTTAATAGTTAAGGCATTTTTGCGTTTAGAGTGCGTTCAAAAATCCTAACTATGACGTCACAAATACCAGACCATAAAACTATATCGCTGAGCTAGGTATTCAACGTGGTTAATAGTCTTTCTCTTTTTAATATATATTTTTCTCTGTTTCGATCTGTCAAGAAGCTGTTTACATTTGAAATTTAAAATATTTTAAGTAGGTACAATTGCTCTTAAACCGAATTTAAACTTTGTATTAAAATGGTAAACGGGGTGTTGTCAGTAAAAATAAATGATAGGGTGCTCTATATTGTGAATCTCCACAAGTGGAGGAATTATATGCAGGTTTTTTTATATTCTTCCTTATTTTGTATTAAACATGTAGGAGAATTGGATAACGTGTATTAAAAAAACTAGTACCTATAGAAAAAGAATATACTAGGTATAAAAAGAGGCAAAGAAATTTATTTACACCGGTAAAAGCATAGAAATTAAATATAAATAGGTGAAAACACATTTCAAAAATTATAGGTTATGAACAAGTAAACAAATGTCAAATGTTAGAAACCTAACCATGGTTATATGAATTAACTGTGACGTCATGACTTATTTAACCGTAGTATTTAATAGTATTTACGCGAAAAAACGACTTAATATAACAAGGTTGTATGTTAAAAAAACGAAAAATTTAAGTCTATGTTTCTACAGGATTATACGTGGCCTACGCTTTACATACCACTTCAAAATAATTTTATAGAATGTATATTCTATGTATACATATATATAGAGTTATTTTTAAGTTGTATGTCAAGGGTGGATTACATAAAACCTTGTAGAAGCATAAACTCAAATTTTTCGGTTTTTTAACATACAACCTTGTTATATTAGGGTGACGATATAACTAATTTCACAGAAACTTATGAAGATAAATATTTTTTGCCATACATTTGTACTTTCTTTTCAAATGCCAAAGACTTTATAGGTGTATTTTCCTCATAAAATGGATTCATTGAATGTTTAATATAGGCTTCATATATTTCACTAAAGAAGTTTTTAATTCCATCATCATTTCTATTATCGTGAACTAAAAGATAAAAAAAATAGAAAAATAAATTTAGATAGGGCCTTAAAAACTTACCAATAACAAATCTAATCAAAGAAGCTGTTACAAATGCTGAAACATACCACTGGTTAAATTTATCGACCGATTTTAAATTCATGTTGTAAGTCTTCCATTTGTGTTCATCTATTAGATCTAAAGCTGAATGCGCTATGAATTGATTTAAATGTCTATGATCATCTTTCTAAAATAATAAAGAAAGTAAAATGTCGAAAAGAACGATTATCTTTAATAAAAACCGAATTATTAAGTTTATCTCTTTTTGAATGGAAATTTAACGGTTTTTAATGTATTTATTATACTCGTGTATTTTTTTATTTCCACCTTAGTAAATGACATTTTATAGGTTAATTTTATTGTTTTTGTATCCAAGTAAGGGTGGAATAAGGAGGTGATATTGATAGAGATATATTTAGCCTTCAAAATTTACAAAGCGTGTCAACAATGCAGAATTTAAAATATTACAACATAAAATATATAATAAATGTATAAAAAAAGAATATCAAAAATATATAGCCATTTTAAAAAACATATAAATAATAAATAAATAAAATTAACTAAAATTACAGCACATTAAAGATTTAAAAATTCATCTGTTAAATAGAGAACATTTTGTATTAAAAAATTTTTTACAGTCTTTTTAAAAAGTTTTGTATCCATCTTTCTGATATCTTCTGGAAGCTTATTTAAAAGTTGCATCCCCATATAAACGAAATTTTTCTGAGATTTCTGCAATCTAAACTTTGGTAGAACCATTTTGTCTCTATTTCGAGTTTCATAATTGTGAGTTTGTGCGTGTGTTAAGTATGTGGTCTGGTTTTGGTGTATGTAGCACAGACAGGTAAGTATGTAGCAGCTTGAAATGGTGAGTATATTTAATTCTTTAAATAGTTCTCTACAACTTGTTGATGGCGGTGCTCCAATTATTGCTCTAATAGCTCTTTTTTGTAGAAGGAATATTCTGGATGATTCTGAACATGAACCCCAGAGCATAATTCCGTATGTCGAGACACTATGAAAATGTGCGAAATAGGCAAGTATTGCTGCGTTTTTGCCCACAATATAACTTATTCTTCTAATCGAATAGATAGCTGCTGTTAGTTTTCTTGAAAGGTGATCTATATGTTGAATCCATGTCATTGAACTGTCCAAATGAAACCCTAGCAGATGAATATTTCCAGGTAAAGTATTTTTTTTAATGAAAATATTAGTGTTTGTGTTTTTTCTTTATTTAGTTTTAATCCGTTTGCCTCAAACCAATCTTGTGCATTGCTTATTGCTTCAGTGGACTTTTGTTTTAGGCTTTTTGTATTATTGGAACTATTTAAAAAGGTAGTATCATCAGCATAGATGCATGATTTTGATGTGTTAACATTTGCTGTCAGATCGTTTTTGTATAGAATAAATAGGATTGGCCCTAGGATAGATCCCTGTGGTACCCCCATATTTATTTGTTCTTCATTGGTTTGTATATCTTTCCACTCAACTACTTGTCTTCGGTTTCTTAAGTAAGATGAAAGTATATTGTGTGCTGGACCTCTGATTCCATAAGAGTATAGTTTGTCAAGCAATATTTGGTGGTTCACACAGTCAAAAGCCTTACTTAGGTCCAAACATGCTACCTCTGTATCTTGCATATCCTCAAAATTTTCAATAATAGTTTCAATGACTTCAATCATAGCAGATATGGTCGATTTGTTTTTTTGAAAGCCATGTTGAGATGGCATTATGATTTTCTTTTTTTCTATAAATTTTACGATTCTTACTTTTAACAACCACTCAAAAATCTTTGAAAAGGCAGGTAATATTGATATTGGTAGTTTTCACATTCATTTGGATTTTATTTTTTAAATATTGGCACTACTTTTGCCAACTTCAAATGGTTTGGGAAGGTTCCATCTTTATAACAAATGTTTATAATTTTGCTTAACGGTAATGCAATTTCGTTTACTATTCTCTGTATAAACTCTACTCAGTCACAGGGTACCCACTCACCTGGAAAACAGGGAAAACCTGGAAATGTCAGGGAAATTAAATATTAGTAAAAAAGTCAGGGAAAAGTCAGGGAATTTGCTGAATTTTACGAAAAGTCAGGGAATTTAACCAATTTTTACGAAAAGTCAGGGAATTTAACTAATTTTTCTTGATTTTTCCGAAAATTGTTTCTATTTTTATTACCGGCCGAAGATTATTTTTTACAAATAATATAGCCGGGCATTGAAACTAAAATAAATCATTTGCGCAAATACTTATAAAATGTATGACCTTATAAACTAAGTTTGTTTCCTTTCAAATTTTTTATGAATGTTCTGTTTAATTTTTTTATTATATTTTAAGAAATGTTAAAAAAAATTGTAAAAAGAAAAATAAAATATATTTTTACTTTACATGGACTATGCTCCACACCTCAAATTCCCACCACGTGACCACATACGGAACGCAGTCTTTTGAAAATTTGGCATTTAAGGCTTTTCAGGTTATGTATCTGTCAAAGTATAGTCAACGAAAGAAATAATATTATGTTTAGGCGTTAAAATGTATAAATCTTTATAACATTAGAATAATAATGGATGGTTTAAGAATTTAAGAATATAAATACTGCATTTAATGAAATTCCAAAGTGTATGGTGCCAAATAAGTAATATTTTTGTGCATTTGGTCCAAATATCTGGTTTTCTCCATGAAATAATTTTAACTAAACAGCATTTATTTAAAAAAATCTAGCTTCTCTATTATGGAATAAGAATATCTGTATTAAAGGTAGGTTAATATATTATAACAAAAATATCATCTAATTTTGTAATTTTAAGGTTAGAAATATTTATTTTGACCAAAATAAATAAGTATTTTGGATTATTTAAAAGACTGTATAATATGGTTTTTAAAAATGTGGTAGTTTTTCTTATCCAGCTTAAAGTGTACCTACATAAAGTTTTGTCAATACAAATAGTTTAAAAAACTGAATTTGATCTACATCAAAAAATCATTATAACTTTAATTTTTTTTAATAAATCACATGTCATGGGAGTATTAAATATTTTCACATTGCAAGTTTCTCTAAAAATTGTTTGTTTTCTTATAATCTACATAACTTAAAGTGGGTATGCCGAGAGGTATGCACAAGTTTTGTCATTAGAAGTATAAGAGCTTCATTTTAATTTGAACCATATTCAACAATTATTTAGTATACCTATATTTATTTATGACCAAATTAACACACTCTTCCAAATAATCCACTTATTTATTTTGGTCAAAATAGATTTTTCTAACCTTAAAATACAAAATTAGATGAAATTTTTTGTTCTAATACATTAACCCACCTTTGATATATCAAATACAGATATTCTTATTTCATAATAGAGAAGTTAGATTTTTTTTAATAAATTCTGGTTAGTTAAAACTATTTTATGGAGAAATGTAGACCCAATGCACAAAAATATCACTTATATTGCACCTTACACTTTGGAATTTCATTAAATGCAGTATTTATATTCGTAAATTCTTAATCCAACCATGTTATTGTGATACTATAAAGATTTATTAACTTTTAACGCTTAAACATAAATATGATTTCTTTCATTTACTATACTTTGACAGATACATAACCTGAAAAGCCTTAAATGCCAAATTTTCAAAAGACTGCGTTCCGTACTTGGTCACGTGGTGGGACTTTGAGGTGTGGAGCATAGTACCTATAATTATTGCTGGAAATTGATGAAAATTGGTCTGGAAAACCTGGAAAAGTCAGGGAATTTTGTTTCATTTTCTTGGTGGGAACCCTGACTGTCAGCTCCCAGTACTTGAGAAGGGACCACGCGATAGCGAGTGCTCTTGAAACGTAAAAGGTTAAAGACTAAAACCAACAATAATTTTTAAAATGTGCAAACCAATTATAGCGAAACAAACAATTTTCATAGAGTGCAAACTAAACTAAACTAAAATGGTGCAACGGTCAATGAAAAGTGAAGTGTTAAGTGATGAATGAGTTAAGTGCGACCTGTCATTGGACGCTTTACACTGGACAAACAAAGGAGGTCAATCAAGAAGGGAGGTGGTCATCCGCAAAAAATTTGATAAGTATCCTTAAGCATATTTATGACCTAACACATAATCTGCAATTTAAATTAAACACGACGATATCTTTAAAACTTAAGATAGGCACACTGCGTAGACCAATAAAGCTGTCAACAACAAATAAGGCAAATCCAAACGAGAGTCTCGTTACGAGACCAATAATAAACACTAGACACACAGAATAAACTAACACATTAATCATATAATCTTAACATAGTTTAAAAAAAAAGCATAATAATCAAACTCTACTGGATTTGTAAACATTAGCTAACAGAATAATTGCGCTTGTCATTTGTTTAACTAATAAATAAATGCATTACTTTATTTTGGAATTTAAGAAAAAAAAGACAAAACTCTACCACAAATCGTGCTTGGGCAGCACAATAACTAAAAAAAAAAAAATTAGAATTTCGCAGTTCTGCGGCAATAAACAATTAAAAAAAAACACCAAAAGCTACAAGTTACACCCAGCGACTGAACTATCTATTGATGGTTTTGGCATCAAGACTGAGGACACGGGCAATGACAATACCGAACAAGACGAAGACCTCGACTAGGAAACTTCACCCCTGCAGCGAAATAACAACTCCCGTACTCCAAATAGTAATCCCAAATATTTGGAGTAATACTAATCGACTGGTCTAGGGGGATTCCGCGTCGTACTTAGTTTTAAGTCGGCGTAATTGTCCCCCAAAAACCAACACCTTCCCGTCCCTCCTCCATACCCCACTGAGCGTATAGCATAGGCTCGGCGAACCCGGGAATGGCTATTAAAACTATTCGCCTTTCGCTCTCGAGCCCCAAATAGGGGACAGTACGGAACGCAATGGACATTCGCACCCAGCAAACACGGGTGAAGCCGTGCAGTTGCTGGGGAAGAACAAAAATCGGCGTAAGTAAACATAGGCCTGTACGGGGTTCGAGAGTCAAGAGGAAATGGGGCTGGTTATACGTCTCTTATACTCATACTCATATTCTCTGTATAAACTCTACTGATACTCCATAAACATCTTTGGCTTTTTTGGTTTTTAAGTTTTTTGCTGCCCTAATAACTTCCAAAGGCTCGGTTTCATACAAGACCATTGAACTTGTTAAATGGTATTTTGTGTTTTTAAATAGAATATTTGCTTTTTCCCTTGATGTTTGAATTAATAAGGATTTTGCTATATTTGCAAAATATTTATTTAATT